GCACAAAATGAAGAAGCTAGAAAAGCAATACAAAATAAATACAGAGACTTACTTGCAACACAATTAGAAACAAAAGGTCAAATGATAATTGAAAAAAATATTGAAATGCAATTATCAAAAAATCAGTTACAAATAAAAACTAAACTACCACCTCCAAGACTAGAATTACCCAAAACAGGGTATAGAGAAGAATATCAATATCCTGGACCTCCAAGATCGCCACCAAAATCACCAACAGAATCTGATAAATCATCAATTGATAGCGATGCTTCTAAAAGAAAAAGAAGGTGGATGCCATCAATAACTGGAAGATTAAGACCTTTATCTCCCACAGGAGGATGGAAACAAGTGTTTGGAGAATCAGGATCCTCAAAACAACATACCCATAGCCCCAAAAAACTATCAAGCTTAAGAAACACTGTAGACCTTACAAATAATCCTGATATAGTATTACTAATATCAATTCAAAATAATCAGCAAATAAGAAATCCAAAATAACCTATAGATAGAAGTAATACTTCATCACCAGCATCATGGCATAAAAATCAAAAATTGTATACACTATCGGTAACAAATTCTAAAAATAAAGATGAAGAACAAGAAATATCTCAAAATATTGAAAGAGCATTCAATCAAAACAATCAAAAACAAGAAACCCACAATGAAGAAAACTAACAAATACCAATAACACATGACTATTTAGTAACACCAAACTTTTTACCTCCATGATCTCCTAGACTTTCTGCTTATACAAAATTTAAAGAATCAGTAGAAAAAGAAATACAACAGAGAAATGAAGGAATAAGAGCACCTGCTGATGAAAGTGATAATGAAAGCTTAACTAAAGAACAACAAGAATTTCTAGAAGAAATAGATAAAGAAGTACAAGAATATATAAAAAATAACAATCTTTATATACAACTAAACCATATACACCCTATTAAAAGAAAGAAAATAATACCTACAGTATTATTAGATGCAAAAAAAGATGATCAAATATATAGTGCACAAAATATTGTATTACCAAATATACAATATTATCATTAAAAATAAGAAAACCTATAAAAAATGAATATATAGGAACCCCAAAATACCTAGCTAAAAAAGAAATAGCTATTCAACCAGGGATAGCAAATGGAGACTATATATTAATAGCAAACTACTCAGAGAATGAAGTCCAAATAAGTAAAGATCAATATATTAGAAATGTTTAAATACTAGAAAAGTCACTAAAATTTTTTCTCAATGAAATTGAGATTCCAAAGAAAAGAGAAATCAATTAGATGAATAAGAAAAAAGCTGTTAAAGAACAGATTAAAATCTTGAAGAAAAACTGTGGACTTGAAATATGAAAACAATTGGGCGATATATTAGAAAAATATATCGATTGCTTTAGAGAAAAACCAGAACCAGGGACTAGTGTAAAACCTGAAATAATCTCAAAAATAGAATTAAAATTAAAAACACCTAAAAATGAAATCTCTAAAAAAGACAAACGATAACAAGTTAGAAAATACTCTGAAGAAGAACTAAAAATCATAAAAACCCTGTTAGACAATCTAGTAAAAAATAAAATTATATACCCAGCACAATTAGAATGGGGAGCAAACGTCTTAGTTATTACCAAAAAAGATAGTACAAAAAAAATAGCCATAGACTATAGAGGCCTAAATAAACATTTAAGGCAATTTAAACAACCTTTGCCTGATATACATCAGATGCTGCAGAAAATAGTGGCATACAAAATATATACTACAATGGATTTAAAATCGGCATATTGGCAACCCCTTATACACGAAAATAGCAGAAAATATAATGCTAGCATATTTGGAAAATATGGCACTTACGAGTAGAATAATTTGCCCTTTGAAATTAGTACTGCACCTGCATACTTAATAGCGGCAGTGAATAAATTATTATCTAAATTTGATTGGATTCTACTCTATATGGATAATTTGACTATTGTTGCAAACTCTATTGAAGAAATGAGAAATAGATTAACAAGGATATTAATAGAGCTTGAAAAAGGGGGCCTGAAACTTAAACCCTCTAAATATGAGTTCTGTGTCAACAAAACAACAATACTCAATCATAAAGTAGATTATGGAAAAAAATGAAAAAAAGCTTTAAAAAGCAAAGAAGTAGATAAATTCAAGACTCCAACTTCTAAAAAAGAAGTACAACAATTCTTAGGATTTATAAACTACTTTAGACCGTATATTTACGACTTTGGAAAAATAGCAGACCCACTTTATAAACTAACAAGAAACAAAGAGTTCCAATAGGATGATGAATGCACAAAAGCATTTGAATGACTTAAGAAAGAAATGAAAAGAGAATTAGCTCTATCATTTCCAGATCCAAAACAACTATTCTTTATGGAATATAATGCTTCACAAGAAGCCATAGCCACAATCTTATATCAAAAAGATTTCGAACGGCAATATTATAAAAAAGTATCTAAACAAGAGATACTTAAAGAGGAGCTTAAGAACTATTCCAAACCAATCAAAACAGGAAGATGCATAATAGAAATAGGCTTAGTAGGATTAAACAAATTACAATGCTGTTGGCCTAGTACACAAAGAGAACTATATGTAATATACATATTTCTTGAAAAATAGAGACACTATATTGGAACACAACAAATACATATTTATACTGTTTCAACAGGAATATCATCAACAAAATTAATGAAAAGTTATACAAATTGTACAATGATGAATTGGATTTTGCAATTACAAGTGTATAACTATATAATACATAGGATAGTAGGTATAGAAAACCATGCTGCAGACAACTTATTATGAGGTACAACTGATGAATTACAACAATTAAAAAAAGAAAAAGAAATATTAAAAGAAGTAAAAAAGGAAGAAAAAGCCAAGCTTCAAAAACAATTAACAAAAATTAGAAAAGCAAATAAAGAAAATAATTTAAGTGATCCAGCTAAAATAATTAAAAAAAAATGGAAGCAAGAGATCAGAAAGAAACAAAAATGATTATCCTAATCATTACTACAATTACCAATCACTATCAACACTGGTACAAACAGAGTTACCACAAGAATCACGAGATGATAAAGAATTAACGCTACAGCAACAATTATTAGGAGAAATACCACAATGGTAACATGAATAAACTGCGAACTAATTAAAAGAATCTTCTAAATATTCACAAGAATTAAATTCCAGAAAATCGGAATCAGAATACTCAAATTCGACCAAATTAGTTTCATAGTCTAGAAAGGAAGCTAAAAAGGAATTAGTAAAATTTGACCAACATGCACCACCGACCAGAGCTGTGAGTTGGACACAGTTCGTCTACTAACTAGTTTGGTATGGCAGTGCATGATAATCCAATAAGACTAATCCTTACCCTTAGTGGATTCCATTTGAAAATCTGATTTATTAAAATCATCATCTAGAAAAGACAAAGACTTATTGTAAAAATCGTAGCAAAAATTATTATTATTGATGAATCCATGTGAAGAGCTATTAAAATATTCGGACGAAAATGGTAAATTCTCTGGGACCACTTGGTAATGAGTTAAGAGAAATTTATTATATAATGAACCAATTTTCTTAACTTGCCTGTCACTCCAAAAAAACAGTACAAAAGATTCAAGTACTTCATAACGAGACTCTGAAGCTTCCAAAAGAAATTGATAAAAATCCAACTGTTGATCATAACATTGACAATTATTATCAATAGATGACAAATTAATCCTGATACCAGACAAAGACATAATAGATTACAAATTGGCTGATAAATACTTAACAAAAATGGGATCCCTAAATAGTATAAATAATACACTAAAACAAACAATATAGTTGAAACAATTTGACGAAAAAGAAATTCAATAATTAATGAAGCATTTAATAGAATATTAAGGAAAAGCATTTGAAAATATAAAAAGAAGCAAAAAGTTGGAAAAAAATTGACGAAAAACACTCCAATATATAATGAACAATATTATAGAAATATACTTTATCTTATCAACATATAATTCAAATTACTTCCCACACAAAATTACTGAAATAGGCTTATCAAAAGAGATAGAACCTTGGTATTTTGACACAAGAGTAATACCAATAAAACTAATAGAAGATATCCTTTATTTTGAAAGGTTATCTTTGATTAATGAAAATGATGACTATAATGGATAATCAGGAAATTTACAAAATTCTCATGATTTTGAAATATTGAAATATCTTAAGTAATGATGACAAATGCATCGAATATTTACAAGATAATGCCTGTATCTATAAAAGTCTAAATTGCTTACAATATGACATACACATGAAACTCTATATGAATGAAAGAATGTTTAGATGCAATAATCAGAATTGCAAAAAGGCGCAATCTTTGATGACTAATTTATGGTTTGAAGAAAATAAATTACCAATCAACCTTGCACTCATGCTTTACTATTTTTAGATAAATAGAATACCCGTGACATCAATCGTAACAGTCATAAGATGATTAACACAAACAATTAGCCATCACGTAAATAGTATTAGAAATCTAATCTAGTTACACCTAGAAGAAACAAAACAAAAGATAGATAAATCAGATATCATTGTAGAATGTGATGAGTACAAATTTGGAAAAGTCAAATATCACTGCAGAAGATACTGCAAAGGCATTTGGGTATTTGGCACAGTAGAAAAGACAATTGAAAAATGAATATTTGTAACAGTTGTACCAGATAGAAAAAAAAAACATTACTAAAAGTAATACAAGATAACATTGAAGAAGGATCAATTATTTATTCAGATTGTTTCAAGTCTTATCAGAACAGAACATCAACACAAAACTGTAAACCATTCACAAAACTTTGTAGACTCTGAGACTAGAGCTCACACAAATACAATTGAAGCTCATTAGAATGGAATTAAATCACTAATACTGGCAAGAAATCGTAACATTGATAGCATTGAACTATGCCTATCAGAATATATTTGGCATAGACAAAACAAAAACAAATTGTGGCAAGCATTACTTGAATACATTGCACAAGAATTATTAATCGAAGCAGATGATTCAGAATTCAAAAACGAAATCAAAGATAAATCTGAAAAGGGAATAGAAGAATCTAAATAATTCTGAAAATCAAAACAACCCTAAAAATATAAAAAGAGCCCTAAAAAGTGAACCCTAAAAATGATACCACTAAATAGACTAAACAAGAAATATCAAGAAGAAACAACTACAAGACAGTGGCTTAGAGAAATACGAATTAAAATACAACAATTCTTAAAAGGAAAAACTCATAATGGAAAACAACTAATTTCTATACAACTAGATCGAAGAAAAGTTGTAAATTCAACAGGGATTGAAAGAAAAATTGCTCTATTAATCAGGAAGAAAGAGCTACATTACTTGAGAAATTTAAACGACATGCTTTAGACTTAAACCTTGAGGAAGAACTAAATACAACTTATCAAGGAATAATTAACCAAATTACTCTAATAACTAATTGTCAAGAACTATATTATATTAAACAAGAACTAGAACAACAATATAATATATGAACTATCAACAATGGAAGACCAATTAACAATAGATTACCATGACCAAATTATTGAACCAATATCATTACAACCAGTGCTAGATAATACAACTACAGATGGAGCTAAAACCAAACAGCTTTGAATCAACAAACAAATCCAAAAGCAATCTGTACTATATGCCAAAGAGATTATGGACTACGATATTGCCCAGAACATATCTGTTGACTTTGCAAAATTAAAGGACACTCCAAAAGAAACTGCATATAATTTATATGCAACTAATACAATCAACAAGGCCATAGTGATGCCAAATATAGTAAAGCATGCAAAAAATGTGGAGAATGGCATGTACATAGAACTGATTGTTCACCATGATATAATCACAAAAAATATTAGCTTCAAAAAGAGATTCTTGATAAACAATGACCTAATGTGCAATGCACCTATTGCTATGAAACAGGACATAGCATCAATGAGTGCAGATTACAAGATTTCATGAACTGAATAAGAAAGTTCAATGTGGATGCAATTATCGAATAATTAAACAAAATTGAACTGCATATAGCAATTTGAAACATAGAATTTATTATTGTTGCAACTGCCAATTTACAGAGAAACAAGAAAATATTAACAAAATATTAACTCCAAAAAAAAATGTTGCAAAACTATATTGTTACAAGTGCCAATTCGAAGCAGCACAATTATCACCACATCAAAACTCACAAAGAATCAAAATCCTTAAAAGATTAGAAAATAAAGATATTATTCAGAAATGTAATTTCTGCAAAAATACGAATTTAAAAAGAAATATGTACTTTGAAGAAGAAATTGCCTTCTGCAGTATTGAAGAAAGATATAGATGGATCATATATACTGATTTAAAATATAATCCAGATTACTAATTAGAAGAGAGAGTACATCACTATTGTTATTCAACAAGATCACAAGGATCACAATATGATCTTAATATATCGAAAATATATCAAATATATCAAATATATAGCAGTACCAAGCTCTCCTTTACGATGGTTACACTATCAAATAATAATTCTGAATCATTATATTTTGATAATAAAGTTGTTTTCTATGTGGTTCTGATAAAGGAGTTTGTAATAATCCCAAGTTTGCAGAAGTTAAGAAAATAATTACTAAAAAAAAATTTAATCTTTTTTTTTTTTTAATATATAATGAATTCTTTTTTCGAAAATAAAAATCTTTGGGTATAGTAATTTCTTAAATATCAAATTTTTGAGAAAATTCTTCGTGTTTTCCTTTTGAAATTATAATATCTTTAATATATATCACTTTTTTTAATGACAATTGATATGATTAGTCAAAATACAAATTACAAGTTACTAATTATTAAAGCAGTGCAAGTTTATAAGATTGTAAATTTTAATCATCAAGGATCAACTTGACGGAACAGATAATTTTATTAATATGCTTAAATACTATAAACTCAAATTTGAATTTTTCCAACCTAAATTATGAATGAATTGACAAGATTTGGTAAGAAAATCTTTTGATAAAGCATAAAAAGCAGTTTGCTGTGCAATTATTCAAAACATCTTTTAAAGTTAATTTTGATCTTTTTACAATTTAAATTTACAATTGGTCACTATCGTATATATAGACTACTATTTCTACTATAGTACATCCTTCCTATAAGAAAAATAATTCAGATTGGTACGGGTTGGTTTCGGATAGGCACAGGCCTTTGTGGCACGAATCAAGATCCGGATTTGTACGGGTATAGTCTGAGTTGGTACGGATTCGGTAGTCCATGTGGGACCATATGCCCATACCAATTGGACCGTAAATGGTACAGGTTTTGCATCAGTTTACTAGTTGAATCGTCACAGGATTTAGCACAGGTAATGATACATAAATTCACGTGCCACTGCAAAAACAAATAACAAACATGTTAAACATAAAATTTACATCAGTAATCAATATAATACAAACAAACTAACTGCATGTAAAGTAAAATTTTGCAAGGAATCTTTTTTGTTAAGATACTCAGAGCAGTTTTATCAGTAAAATTATGAGATATTGCACTTTTTTTAAAAAAAAATCATTTATTGTTCTTTCGCTCTCTGCGAAATGAGCCAACATGTATCATGAGCCAACACATGTATAACATATACATATGTGCCATCTGATCATGTTGTTCCGTATGATGTGATATAACGTGCCACCCCTTGCCGAAATGTTTATGCCATTTTTACCATGCCTAGTGTTCGAAACCGAATTAAAAATCCCAGTTGATCCAGGATTAATCCAAATCCGATCTGAATCTGTAATTCAAATTGAATCCGGGAGTGATCCGTGCCAATCCGACGGTTGATCCGCGGTTTGTTACATTTATTTTACCACAATATATGTGATAAATTGAGTTTGTTACATGATAAATCTGAATATATCCTTTATATTGTAACACGAGTGTGATTAATTTGAATTATCATGTATAAATTCGATTTTATCACTTATAATAATTATATAAAAATATGTCCTAAAATTAGACCTAATCTTGCTCAATCCAGGCCCAATCCAAATTTTTTAGGCCAAAACTGTTCTGATGGTACGGATCTGTCAAAATCTGAATCTGATCCAATTTAACTTTTTCAAACACTAACCATGCCATTCTGTAAAATGTGCCTGTGCGTGTCTAGAGATGGGTTTCATACGTGCACATGATTTCTCAATCATGCACATGGATGCGCATTTATGTACATGTTTCTGAATCATATGCATTTTATCCTATCAAGATTTTATATAGGAAAATTAAAATATAAAATAAGTATAATAAATATTCTAATAAGTGCTAAATTGATCTAATCTGGATCACAAGGTCAAGAATTAATAGTCTGTCTAACCTGAATTAGAATTTTTCTATAATACAGATACAAATTAATTTACACCAAAATCTTTTATATCCTAATTTGTTATATATGTATTACAAAAATATTGTAAAATATATATATTTTTTTGTAAAAAAAAAAACACCATGAAATTGCTAAAAATTTTTAAATACTTTTTAAAATTTTTGGCATTCTTTAATTTTACATATAAATGCCACGAATTCTGGGTCTAGTTTATCTTCATTATACTAATCTTGGTATAGTTCCACCATTTAAACAACCAAGAGTTAAATGTAAATATTGTCCTCATACTTGCAATAAAGCTCTTAACAAATGTGAATTACATTTAAAAGTTGTTCTAAAATTGATAATAAAACTTACCAATCTTATTTTGGTCATCTAAAAATAATATCTTCACAAGTTGCTTCTCATTTATTAATAAATACTTCAAAAAAAAACACTGCAAAATAGAAATATAGTGCTGGAAGCCTATACTCAATAGTTATACAAAGTGTTTCAATTTTTTAAATGGCTATAACTTTTCTTCTAAAAGGTTTTAAAAAAATCTAACTGGTAACTTTATAGAGATATATTAACTCTATATATATGCCAAAAATCTTTTCAAAATCTCATCACTGTAAAGAGTTGATGTATTTTAAAAATTGAAATTTTATATATAAATTTATAAATTTACATGTAGAATTTTAATTTTTAAAATGCATAAACTCTTTATAGTGTTGAGATTTTGAAAAGATTTTTGGCATATATGTAGAGTTAATATATCTCTATAAAGTTACCAGTCAGATTTTTTTAAAACCGCTTAGAAGAAAAGTTATAGCCATTTAAAAAATTGAAACACTTTGTGTAACTGTTGAATATAGGCTTCCAGCATCATATTAAAAATTTTTTTGATAATATTACAACAACTAAACAAAATAATCTTGAATTTGGATTTGCAGAAGCTGTTTTTCAATATTGTCTTCCTTTTTCATTTTGTGAACTAGTTCCAATTCAAGCCTGGATTAAAAAATTAAAACATTTATTTAAATTACCTACAAGAAAAAAAATAGCTAATCAATTACTAGAAGCTGTTTATAATGAGACTAAATTAAAAGTAGATAAAAGTATTAAAAATGCTAAATTTTTAACTTTGATTTGTAATAGATAGTAAATTTTAAATAATGAAGATTAATTGAATTTAGTTAGATTTAATTAAAATTTTTTAATTTAATTCTATAAGTATATAGAATTAAAATAAAAATTTTAATCAAATTTAATTAAATAGATATTAGATAATTTTATTCAAAGTTTGGATATCTATAATATTATAAATTTAAATATATAATTAATTGATTAATTAAAATTATTAATTTTTAGATAAAGTATTTCTACTGAACATTGGACAAATTTTATCTTTGCAACTCCAAAACCAGTATTTGTTTTTGCTAAACCTACAGAAGAAGTACGTCAAAATGCTAATAACAGTCACACGATATTTCACATCTAAAATTTTATCATATGATCTTCGAACGTTACACAAATCGACGAAGTTACAATTTTAAAATTTTTGCCTAAAACTTCAGTTGAAATACATAGTGATCCTTAAGAA